GTCAGAATTCTTAGATTAAAGTAGGAATTCTGAGATTAAAGTCAGAGTTCTTAGAGAAAATTCAGAATTCTGATTAAAAAAGTCAGAATTCTGATAATAAAGTCAGAATTCTTAGATTAAAGTAGGAATTCTGAGATTAAAGTCAGAATTCTAAGATTAAAGTCAGATTTTTTAGAATAAAAGTAAGAATTCTGAGATTGAAGTCAGAATTCTTAGAAAAAGTCAGAATTCTTAGATTAAAGTAGGAATTCTGAGAAAAAAGACAAAATTCTGAGATTAAAGTCAGAATTCTGAAAAAAAGTCAGAATTCTGAGGAAAAAGGTCAGAATTCAGACTTTTTTCTGTTAACTTTTTTGTTTTTTCAGTGGCCCTAATCCTCGTCCGTAGTAAAGTTCTCTAGAAATAATGAGAAAAAAAGAATTTCAACACATTTCTGAACAATCTCAGATGTCAGAGCTGTACTCGTGTCCCTGAACTCATCACTCGGCTGTGTGTGTGAATGCGCGTTGCAGAGGAAGTGGCGGCGGATCTGGGTCCGCACCTTTTCCGGTAACACAGCCCCGCCACCGCTGTGCCTGACTGAACGGCTGGGAGACACAGGGGAGGAAGACACACTGAGAGCGGCAAGAGTGGGGGAGAAACGGCCTGGGGGACTGGGGAATGGTCGCCGCGGATGCAGGTATTTATCCCGCTCTCACTGTATGTTGTTTTCCGCTGAGCTTTCAGGCTTCAGCAGTTAGCGCTTTTTTTTTTTTTTTTTTGTCGGATTCAAAGTTGTCCTCTGTACTAACACCCCTCCCTTCTCCGGACCGCTCCTATGTCACAGGGGGAAGAGAAGAAAGTCGGATGAATCAATGACCTTTTGAGCTGTCCTCCTGTGGAAACTCACCGTGAAGGCTCTGAATTGTCGCCGCCTGTTAGCGCAGATTAACCGGCGAGCTTTCGAAATAAGCTAAGTGTGGACAGCCGGCGGCCAAGAAGGAAGTGGGATCCCCCGGCCTGGCCTGGGCCTGCTCTATATTGTCCTCCTCTGGCTCAAAGAACTACTTAAAGCACTATCTGGGAGGAAAAAGGAGCTGGTAAAGCAAAGCCAGCCCTTATTTTGTGGGCTTTTCTAGGAAGTGTGTGATCTAAGCCGACTTTGAGAGAAGGGAATGTCATTTTTTCTTCTTACATTGGAGGAGAGTGGATCATTAAAATATATCCCCACCCGATTCGACAAAAACTCTCCATGATCAGTTCTCTGGGATCACTCAAATCTAAATACCTCAAATCTAGCTTTACTTTTGAGATTTTTGACACTTGCCTCAACACGTGTGTAGCTTTCAGATTGAAACTGACTTCTCTGTTGGCGTAAAAACAAACTTCTCTCTGGTTAGTTTTTCTTTTTTCGCCTAAGAGACTATTTATGCACAGGAAACAAGATGGGGAAGATGCTGTCAAAGATTTTTGGCAACAAGGAGATGAGAATATTGATGCTTGGACTTGACGCTGCTGGGAAAACCACCATCCTGTACAAGCTGAAACTAGGACAGTCGGTCACCACCATCCCGACGGTGGGCTTCAATGTGGAGACCGTCACCTATAAGAACGTGAAGTTCAACGTGTGGGACGTGGGCGGCCAGGACAAGATCCGGCCGCTCTGGAGACATTACTACACAGGAACGCAGGGCCTGATTTTTGTGGTGGACTGCGCCGACAGGGACCGCATCGACGAGGCCAGGCAGGAGCTCCACAGGATCATCAACGACCGGGAGATGAGGGACGCCATCATCCTGATCTTCGCCAACAAGCAGGACCTCCCGGACGCCATGAAGCCCCACGAGATCCAGGAGAAGCTGGGCCTGACCCGGATCCGGGATAGGAATTGGTACGTTCAGCCCTCGTGCGCGACGACAGGGGATGGACTATACGAGGGCCTGACCTGGCTTACCTCTAATTACAAATCCTAATGTTTCCTCCACCCACCAGCCTGGACATTTGGAGACACAAAACGTAGCTGAGATGAGGAAAGAGAATTAAAAAAAAAAATTTAAAAAAGGATGCAATCTGAGGCAAACGATTCAATTATCTCTTTGCTTAATCTGTATTAGAGGGAGTCGCAAATGTTTGTTTTTTTCTGAATAATTACTTCACTTTAATCCCAAATTTTCAGTTAAGCAAAGAAGTATTTTTGTTTTATTTTTCTTTAGTTTTCTTTAGTTCTCAGTCTGTGTAATCAGCACTGTTAATCCATACATCTTACTTTTATGCTTTTACTGCATTTGCTTTTGTTTTCGCCTTTGTTGTATCATTTCTTTTAGGGGCCCCAACCTGATTGGCATGGCCCCCAAACTTAGTTCTGGTTCTGCACTCTCAACACCCAGCTACATATCCAAAGGATGGACAGGGGGGGAGTCTAGAAATAATTTCCCTAGATCAGCATATCAATATAAAGGAAAGAAAAAAAAATGCCTCTGTTATATGTAAGAATGTGTACTCTGGATGTGTTGGGACCTTAAAATCCGACTGATTGTAGTGGGATGATTGAATGGGAAGTTCCTCCCTCCTGTGCAGTGATTTCATGGATCTTCACACACTGTGACCTGGATATAAATGGTTGTTTCAGGGTTTAAGTGGTTGTTAACGGCGGTTTAATCATTTTCACTCTTGTTTCTCTCAGAGCTTCCATTAAGTGTTTTGTAGTTTCAGCTGCCTTAGGACGGACCAGGGTTCCAGGTGCCCCCCCCCATCCCCCAGAAACTGAGACAGCCGCTGAGTTTGCACTTTGATTGGGAGAAGGAGGGGCGGTGAGCAATTTGCTGGTTGGGGCATATTTTTTCATTTTCTTGAACCGACTTTTGGACTCCAGCAAGGTTTACGAATTTCCTAAACCCCTCCCCCCCCACCACCACCACCACCACCTCCAAAACAGGTGCTTCTTTACTTTTTTTTTTTCTAAATAAACATCACCAGCCCATTTAAAACCCTGCAGTCAATTATTTTCATAGTTTCAAAACCATATTGCTGTTTAACCTCCCCCCCTTTTTTTTCTCTTATGCTATGCTGTTGAAATAATAAAAGAAATATATATCCAGATCATTATGGAAGTGGTGCCTTTTCAATGACCGGTTGGTACTATTGCATTATTATTTTATTTTTTTTAATTGAAAAGCAATATTTCCCTTTTGAAACAGGTTGAGCTCATAAAAGAGGAAATGAGAGTTTAGGGCGTTATGATAGTTGAACGAAGGACAAACTGAAGAGAAGTGAGCCTCTGCTTGTTTCCTTTCTGCTCCTGTGAGTCATTTGCTGAATAAATGATGAGAGCTCTAGTTTCCGAGTAGTGATTGTGAGGTGCCGCGCTCCGCCAAAGGTCTTTGTCCGCCATGCAGAAGGTCTCATGTTTAAACCCTCAAATCTTAACCACAGGCTTTTCCTAAAGAGCGGATCTCGTTAGAAATTAACCACGATTAAGGTTTTTCTGTTTTGTTAAAATAATGTTGGTTCATCACCGGCCTGCTGCTTAGTAAGTAACCCTGAAGCACTGATGTGAGGTCAGGCTACTATTTCAAAGCCACCCATTCTTTGTTTCCCTCTCTGCTTACTGGATATCACTGCTTGGAGGTTCGCCGTGCCATTCTTATAAGGAATAAAGTTGCTTGTGAAAACTATCTATGGAGGAGGCTGGGAAATAAAGGCTGGGAAATTATAAAAAAAAAAAAAAAAAGAGTTGGCATAGAGATCAGTAGTTTAGTGTAAAACAGTACAAAAAACTTGCAAAACGCACTGCTGAGATCCTATAAAGTTTTTTTTTTTTTTTTGGTGTAGCAAAAAGAAAAAAAAAAACTTTCCAGAGATTGAAAAGTCAAGGAATTCCTGTTTGGGAACGCTTACTTTTTGCTCTGTTTGCTTTTGTTGTGTTTGCTCTGCAGCTGTGGATGTGAAGTTTGACCTGCCACAGAGTTGAAAGCAGCCCTCCGCATGTGTCCGGCTAGAAGGACGGAGCTGTTCAGCTGAGATAGTTACACAAATGTGACAGCCCGTTATCTCTCCTGAAACTGCCGCTGCTTCTCCACTTTTTTTTTTTTTTTTTTTTATTAGGGAACAATCGTTTCCTCTGTGCTGGGAGTAGCTAAGGGCTAAAAGTGTCATTTAAGTCCTTATTCGTTACTGATTTTTCATTCACAAATTCATTGATGCTGGATGTGGAAATTTTGACCTAAAAAAATGTGTCAGAAGGGGAACCCAGGAGAGGAAATGTGTAGAGGGAGAGGAGTTTGAAACGGTTACATCAGCACTGAGCGGGTGAATCATGCTGCATGTGTCACAGGGCTTTTGTACAGCTGTCAGTGCTGCATTCGAAGGCACATGCTCTGCACACTAGCTAGTGTCAGAGCCTGTCAGGCTCACCTGTGGCCCCAACATGGTTTAAAATTCACTATTGTCATAACCTGGAGTCCTTTTCTATTTTTTTTTTTTTTTTCCATCCTACCCAGAGCTGCATTGTATGCTGCAGGGTGGGGGGTTGGCTGCACTATTGTACGCCTATAGCTTGGCTGACTTCAAACAATGCTCAAAAACCAAGCTCATTGGTAGTTCCTCTGTCAACTTTTTACTGCGGCGTTCCTCTTTGATTTTAACATCCTTCATTTAGCTACGCAGAAAACCGCTAATTAAACAATACAACTCAAAAAATCGATGTTAAAAGGGCGGTAAAGCTAATTATGCAAATAAAAATTTTTTTTATAATTCATTTGATTGCTAGTGATTTGTTGAACAGAGGATACGGAAGACGAAATCGAACTGTTATCAGCGGGCTTCTTTTCTCACACCTCAGACATTTGCTGTCTAGATCCTCCCACAGCTGTTTCCATAGAGCTGCAGAGTTTACACATGGCATGCTCCAAGTCAGAGGCCAAAGTAAAAGCATTTAAAGCTTCACTCCTGAGCGTGCGCTGCTGCCTGTAAAATTTCATAATCTTGTATTCTGGCAATGCTTTAGCCGTTATGAGATTATCACATCATAATTGAGTGAAAATGCTGATTTCACTGCTTTATAAGAAAATAATATTTCCCTGCTTTGATTTTAAGCAAAATAGAAGTAATGTTATCTATTCAATATACAGTTAATTATTTTGAAAAGAATGAAGCAAAGTATTAAGAAGATTCACCAGCTATAATTTAGTAATAGTCTTTAAGTTATTGTGCAACCTAATCTTCCTTTCTTAACACTCTGGACTTTGCTTGATAGTAATTGGTCCGCGGGCAACAATAGAAACAAGTTAATGGTTGTTTTCTTAACAGGGTTGCTTAAGACTGATGTGATTTTCTCGTCTCCACGCCATAGGTGGCTGGGCTTTCTGCAAATGCAAACGTCTTGAAGATGCAGAATTGTTGTTTCTTAAATGTTTAGAGACAGAGCAGCCTTTTTTCAGCCAGCTATGTGGCAGTGTGCAGCAACAGATAGAGGAGAAGGGAGTGCTATTGCCGCAGAGCTTGGAAAAAGGACTCTGGTCACGGAAAGCAGCTAAAACACTAGTCATTATACTGCACATTTAAAGCAACAGGGTTCAGTTTGTAAAGCCAAAGATTTTTTGTTTTTCATCATTTATTAAAAATGAAATAAGAGAGAGTAAATACAGTGGGGGTAATGAAAGCATTGCGCTTCAGCAAGCTGCTTGGTAAAAGGCAAATTATGCTGTCAAATATTGATATAGCAGGGATATTATTTAATGAAACTTCCATACAGCACACCAGGGACCAATTTCTCTGACCTAAAACTTCACATATTTTAGCACAATATACATTTAATAAACAAAAAGCCAAAAAAGCTTTTTTTTTTAAAGAAAGAAATGTCAGGTTTTTGTGAGTAATGGATGGTTTAAATTCTTCTTATGGGGGCCGTCATGACATGGTGAAACCTACTTTCAGGTTTGAAACGAGCTGTACATGCAGGGAAGCTACTTTTTGCCTTTGAAGCTTTATGGGCACAGGAGGACGATGACGTTGGATCCATGGGTGTGCTATAAGGTTGAAACACATTTATCTGTAGCGTATAGGATGGGATGCCAGCATGACTGCAATGCAGTCTACATTATATTTGTGGGAAAATGGCAAAAATGTCCAGAGTGCTTTTTTATTATTTAATTCTTAAAATCAAATTACGACACTCTTATGCTTTTAACTGATGTTAGCTTCAAAACCATTACACATTTATTGAAACAGCTACATGTGTCCCGTAAAGGACATGCATATTTAAACTCAAAGCGAAGCAGTTTTTGGCTAAATTGTTGTAGTTTCTTAACGGATTTAACCTGCATATGATCAGTACTAAGTTAGACTTCTAGTTGGAAGAAAATATCTGTTCCTGTAGAAAAAAAATGCTGTTGCAATGTTTAATTTTCCTGCACATAGCGATAGTTTACATTCCTTTCAACAGGGAATTTATTAACTTTAATGTAGTGTCTGAAAGGAAGTTACATGACTCTTGATTAGTATCAGTGATTTAAAAAACTCTCCATTCTGATTCGTCTTCACCTCTGCAGAGCAAGCTGCTGTTCATCAGCCAAATAATTGCTGTGTGAAACCATATAACAGTTCCTCTCTTTACATCCTGATGCTTATATTTCTGGGTCTTTCGTCTATGAAACCAATCCTCTTTCACTGGTTACAGGGCCAATAAAATTACTCTACTCTGGCATTATTGTTCTGTCCTGCAGATTTAGAATAAAAGGACAAAAGCAAAATGGTTATTATTAGATGGCTCAGAGCTTTAGCTGAAAAAGGCTTCAGCGTCACAGTTACAGTATAAAGACCCTGCTTAAACGGCGTCATTAGGGAAGCACGCCGTGTGGCATTCAGCTCGTAGGCAGTTTGTGAGCTCCTCAGAATCTGTTGCACACTCTGTTTCCCCTCTGTTGTGTAAAATGTGCTAATAATTATAGGGAGCCCGAGGCTTACGTTTGCCTTTTGCAGAAAATCTGTGCAATGGGAGGGATGTGATCTGCTGCAGTCAGCTCTGTGCAACACCAGCAATTTAGGCATAGATTTGCAATTAATAGAAATAATGCATTAGAAGCAAGAATCCCTAGAAGAAATCTGTCTCAATTTGAACCTCTGAACAGCCAGAGAAAGATGCAGAAGTATCCCAACCCTTTTACATTTTGTGATAATAGAACTACAAGCTGCAGCACATTATAGCCAGAGTTAATGTCATAAGCATCCACAAGAGAGAAATAGAAATTATGATTTCTTCTGAGCTTTACATATTTTTACCGATTAACAGAGTTGTGGCATGCTTTTATTGGTGCAAAAACGATCTAGAACTAACACATTTCTTAAATTAAGTGTATTTAGCCTATATTGGAGCAGGTAAATAAGATAATTTGCCAACGGAATTAGTTTCTGTAGTCTTAAAATAAGACCATAAGATAATATGCACTTGAAATAAGTGCAATGT